GATTCCATTGTAAATACCGTAAATCTGGGAGAAAATGTGGCTTTCCTGCCTACCCCCGGGATTGAACCCGGACCACAAGGAGTTCGTCACCCGGTCAACGTGCAGTCCGGTTTAGAGAGCCGGGCACTGGGGTACTTATATCTATTTCCTGACGGCGACTTTTCCTAAATGTCACTTGAGAATTTAACAATCCATGAAGATCTGAACAGGACTAAAGTCTGTTGTATACAATCATAAAAGTGAAGTTACCTTTTCTGCACCTTCAGGCGTAATGGGCATATAGGGCTAGACCGATATTTTGTAGATCCATCGGCATTGGTGGGTGTGGTCAGCAGCACGCCGGTCGCCTTTACTTTCCAGGACTTTACCTGGTACCCGCTCAAGGCTGGGTTTACCTGGGAGTCAAGGTCTTTTTCCGTCATGACCTGAACCTACGACCTTTCTTCCGGTCAAAATGGACGCTAGGCAGGGGCACTGTTTGGAGCCGAGGCAAATTTTTGCTTCTGCCGGACGGTGGCTGATGCATTTTTGCTCCATTTGTAGACTGGATATAATTTCGTCGCCCAGCTTCTGAGTTGAAGGCATGTCGTGACACTGTGAGCTGCGAATTTCATTTGGAATGTTTTTTTTTTTCTAATGTGACCAAGTGGTGGTGTGAATTATAGATTCAGAAAATGGCGCCATGACTGTCGTCGCAATGTTGGTGGTGCCCGTATGTGATTAAAAGTGATCGCGTGTGCAACTGCTGATCTGTTGGTGGCTTCTGCTACCATCAATGATGAACTGCATTTCTAATGTCAGACTGTTTGTGTTAGCATTTTGGATGGCTACTGTATGCTTTAATGCGAGTGTATGCTAGATATGCTGAGACAGCAGTCTGTCAATCTTTCCACAAGGGACTGTGAAAAACATTCTGTGTGTTCTTCGTTTGCACAAGAGCGGAGCAAAGATGGGGTGACCCGTTTGCTATGAAGCTGAAACTAAGACTACCAGACTACCTTCCGATCCACAGGCGAGCATTTAGCCGCTACACCGAGGATCTCACTGTATAAAAACGTACAATACTGGAAATTCGTATTCACTGTAACAAAAGCGACCCGTTGATGAGGCGGGATAAACAACTAAAACCCTCATACAACCAGCATTCAACACTTGTTGAAGCTTAGCTAGTTTTCCCCCACGAAGATCGTGTTCCCATTTGTGACGACAGAAAAGGACACAATGTTCGTGGATGTTGCATGAGCGCTAACAGAACAATGGCCTTGTCAGTTATAACTCCAGGTTTCCGGTGTCTGGTCTGAATATGGCTTTTGTGGCTGATGTAGTTAGTGGCTTCTGCACCGCGCTACGCAATCCTTTTCTGGCACTCCTTTGACTTGTTCCCCAAAATGGCGGCATGCCACATGTTGGCCATAAAATATCCAAAAATATCCGAACGACGGTGTTCCCGTATATCTAAAATACAGACTGTCTGCTAAGGGACAAATAATTGCGGCAACACTAGGATTACGTGACAGTCACTATCGAAATTGCACACGGTAGTATTAGCAGACGATAAATACCGACCGTTGACAAAAATTTCGAGCGATTCTGCAGACGACGATACTAGCAGATGATATTAGCGACCGTTGACCAATTTCCAGACATTACAGACGATGAAAGCGATTGGCACTACTGTGTTCTTCCGATTTGAGGATTTAGCAGCGGTAAATGTCAGACTTGTCGGCATGCGCCAAATGCGATTAAACTTATCGCCGAGCGTATCTAGGTGCCTGGGACTCACGAGTACAGTAATTTGAGGAAGTTGCAGGAGATGCGGTAGCTGCCACTCGTAAGTCCCAGCTAGCTAGTTTAGCCTCTATCCGCGCCGCGCGTAGCGGCGCGGGGGATACCCCTCGGCGGTGAGGCACACTCGCAGAAGCAGGTCGGCAAGCACTGTATCACCGAGACCCTGTCAGAGTATTTGTTTCGTTATCCGGAGCCGGCACATATATTTTTAATAGAACTGACCCGCATTCGGATATTTTCGGATATTTAATGGCAAGAAATTTGCCAATTTAGCTCTCTTTCGAACGCCATCATATTAAAGCCGCCATTTTGGGGAACAAGTCAAAGGAGCGCCCCTTTTCTTTCTTCTTTGAGTTTGCCGGCTGTTAACCCCAGTTGAAAGTTTTTGGGTGTTCGTCCACCTCTTAACGTTAGTCTTGTTCCAGCACCTGAGTGTTGCGTGCACATCCATTTCACACATCTGGCTCATTTGTGTGCAGACTCGTGGTTCCTTGCCGTTCAGATAGATGTACTCAGACTTCGAAGGATGCCTCCAGTTAGTCTACTCCTACGACATGCTTCTTGAGGAGGAATTGGGTCTATTCTTGTTTGCTTCAGAAGCGGGTCCCAGAACCCTAGCTGTACGTAGACGTTCTACCCGGCTCTCTGGAGCAGGGCTGCCAACTGGATTTTTTTTTTAAACCCAGTTTCGCTTAACAAAAACCCAAGCAATACATAGACAAAGAAAAGAAAATAAAAAATAAAAAATCCAGATTGTTAAAATGTACAAAATTTATAGTTATGAAACGAAACATTTACCAATTTTATATAAGGATATATTTTTTAAAAATCCCAGATTTTCCCAAGGCGTCAAATAAAAACCCAGATCTGGGGGAAAACCCAGCATTGGCAGCCCTGCTCGGAAGTGTCCGCGGAGAAGCTTCTCCTCGAGGCCGCGATGCTCAATGAGGTCGGTTCGCTGACCAGCCCTCTATTTTGTGTGAGCATCAGTGGTCTAGTGATAGATTACTCGCCTGCCACGCGGTTGACCTGGGTTCGATTCCCGGTCCATGCAACTTTTGGGGGCTGCGTGGTCTCAAGGCATGGCGTCCGCCTTGAGTGCTGGAGGTCTCAGGCTCAAGCCCCGATGAAGGCTGGGATTTTTTCACGTGGACTTCTAGGAATTTCCCCTGGTCTCTGGGTAGTAAGATCGGACGACCGTGTATATTGTTGCGCCCGTAAAAAAATCTTTGGGAAATCGAAAACGAGTAGCCTAGCGGCGCTGCCCGGGCAAAATTAGTTGTAAGTATTTCAGGATCTTCGCCGGTGCTGCGGAGTTAGTGCACTTCGCTGAGAATCTTTGGACTCAAGATTGAGTTAGAAGTAGAACGGAGCATTTATAGTTTACTACCCGTGAGCCATGATGTGGATCCGTCGTCTAAACCTCAAGCCTTTAAAATCTGGAACCCACACGTGCAGCTAATAGACTGAAGTGGCTTGGGCGTAAGAATATGGCCGATGACAATAAGACAAAAACTGTGCAAATGTGAATTGAATGGCCGAAGACCACGAGGCAAGAAGACGGTAAAGAGACAGGATCTAAAAAGGGAAATTTTCCACTCCTTTAATCTGCTAGATCTATATTGTATAGATCAGTCGGCACTCGGTGGGTGATGTGGTTTGAGACTTTACCAGGCTGGGTTGTATAGATCAGTCGGCACTCGGTGGGTGATGTGGTCTGAGACTTTACCAGGCTGGGTTGTATATATCAGTCGGCACTGGGTGGGTGATGTGGTTTGAGACTTTACCAGGCTGGGTTGTATAGATCAGTCGGCACTCGGTGGGTGATGTGGTCTGAGACTTTACCAGGCTGGGTTGTATAGATCAGTCGGCACTCGGTGGGTGATGTGGTCTGAGACTTTACCAGGCTGGGTTGTATAGATCAGTCGGCACTCGGTGGGTGATGTGGTCTGAGACTTTACCAGGCTGGGTTGTATAGATCAGTCGGCACTCGGTGGGTGATGTGGTTTGAGACTTTACCAGGCTGGGTTGTATAGATCAGTCGACACTCGGTGGGTGATGTGGTTTGAGACTTTACCAGGCTGGGTTGTATAGACCAGTCGGCACTCGGTGGGTGATGTGGTCTGAGACTTTACCAGGCTGGGTTGTATAGATCAGTCGGCACTCGGTGGGTGATGTGGTCTGAGACTTTACCAGGCTGGGTTGTATAGATCAGTCGGCACTGGGTGGGTGATGTGGTCTGAGACTTTACCAGGCTGGGTTGTATAGATCAGTCGGCACTCTGTGGGTGATGTGGTCTGAGACTTTACCAGGCTGGGTTGTATAGATAAGTCGGCACTCGGTGGGTGATGTGGTCTGAGACTTTACCAGGCTGGGTTGTATAGATCAGTCGGCACTCGGTGGGTGATGTGGTCTGAGACTTTACCAGGCTGGGTTGACCTTAGAGCCAATGGTTTTTTTTTTTTTTTTTTTTAAGTCTGTTCCGTTCGGATTTGAAGCCACGACCTTCGATTGCGCAGTCGAGCTTCTAACCGATACACTACTGTGGTACCCTAGATAATATCCCGGCAGACTTACAAACATCTGGGAATCATCAACTGGAAAGGAGACGGCCACTCAGAGAGATAAATGGGGGGTGGGGGGAGTGTTATCTGCAACAATGAACCTCAAGGGCTCGGAATGATAAAGACGAAGCAGCAGCAGCAGCAGAAGAAGAAGAAGAAGAAGAAGAAGAAGAAGAAGAAGAAGAAGAAGAAGAAGAAGAAGAAGAAGAAGAAGAAGAAGAAGAAGAAGAAGAAGAAGAAGAAGAAGAAGAAGAAGAAGAAGAAGAAGAAGAAGAAGAAGAAGAAGAAGAAGAAGAAGAAGAAGAAGAAGAAGAAGAAGAAGAAGAAGAAGAAGAAGAAGAAGAAGAAGAAGAAGAAGAAGAAGAAGAAGAAGAAGAAGAAATAGAAGAAGAAGAAGAAGAAGAAAAGGAAGAAGAAGAAAAAGAAGAGGAGAAGGAGGAAGAAGCAGAAAAAGTTGGTCTTATATGTACGTCTTTGAACCTGTTACAAAAACCACCTTCATTATTTTGTCAACTTTTTTTTCCAGATCCACTTCAAACTCCAGGATCCAGAGAGTAAGACCAAGGGCACACCGACAAATTCGGCCTAGTATATCGTTGACCAGGTCAACCGTCCAGCTTGCTACTTCACATCTCTACTCAAAGCAACATGAGCTCACAGGGTAAAGGGCCCAATCACGTCATCCTCTACGTCAGAGCCGGCTGGGACGGGGAGGGTTACGGAGCTTGCCCTTTCTCACAGAGGTTCTATATGGTACTCGACTTGAAAGCAAAAGGTGCGGCCCTGACCTATGACATTATAACGGTGAACACCGCCAGGCCTCCCCCGGAGTTTCGGAAGTTCGCCAACACTCTACCTGTTCTTAAACATGGCGATGAGGTCAGTGAGGGACGCCCCCATTTGAAGTTCTGTTTTGTGCAATAGCTTTTTGTTTTCGTTCTGTGAGGTCGAGTTTGTTGTTTTGTGCTGTGTAATAGCGGTTTGTTGTTCTGTGTTGTGCAGTAGCGTTTGTTGTTCTGTGTTGTGCAGTAGCGTTTGTTGTTATGTGTTGTGCAGTAGCGTTTGTTGTTCTGTGTTGTTTAATGCCGTCTGTTGTTCTGTGTCGTGCAAAAGCCGTTTTTTGTTCTGTGTTGGGCAGCAGCGTTTATTGTTCTATGTTGTGCAGTAGCGTTTATTGTTCTGTGTTGTGCAGTACTGGCTGTTGTTCTGTGTTTTGCAATAGCGGTTTGTTGTTCGGTGTTGTGCAATAGCGGTTTGTTGTTCTGTGTTGTGCAATAGCGGTTTGTTGTTCTGTTTTGTGCAGTAGCGTTTATTGTTCTGTGTTGTGCAGTAGCGTTTGTTGTTCTGTGTCGTTTTATACCGTCTGTTGTTCTGTGTCGTGCAAAAGCCGTTATTTTTTGTTCTGTGTTGGGCAGCAGCGTTTATTGTTCTATGTTGTGCAGCAGCATTTATTGTTCTGTGTTGTACAGCAGCGTTTATTGTTCTGTTTGTGCAGCAGCGTTTGTTGTTCTGTGTTGTGCAGGAGCATTTATTATTCTGTGTTGTGCAGTACTGTCTGTTGTTCTGTGTTGTGCAAAAGCGGTTTGTTCTTCTGTGTTGTGCAGCAACAATTATTGTTCTGTGTTGTGCAGTAGCGTTTGTTGTTCTGTGTTGTGCAGTAGCGTTTGTTGTTCTGTGTTGTGCAGTAGCGTTTGTTGTTCTGTGTTGTGCAGTAGTGTTTGTTGTTCTTTGTTGTGCAGTAGTGTTTGTTGTTCTGTGTTGTGCAGTAGCGTTTGTTGTTCTGTGTTGTGCAGTAGTGTTTGTTGTTCTGTGTTGTGCAGTAGTGTTTGTTGTTCTTTGTTGTGCAGTAGTGTTTGTTGTTCTGTGTTGTGAAGTAGCGTTTGTTGTTCTGTGTTGTGCAGTAGTGTTTGTTGTTCTGTGTTGTGCAGTAGCGTTTGTTGTTCTGTGTTGTGCAGTAGTGTTTGTTGTTCTGTGTTGTGCAGCAGCGTTTGTTGTTCTGTGTTGTGCAGTAGCGTTTGTTGTTCTGTGTTGCTTAATACCGTCTGTTGTTCTGTGTTTTTCAAAAGCCATTTTTTGTTCTGTGTTTTGCAGCAGTGTTTATTGTTCTGTGTTGTGCAGTAGCATTTATTGTTCTGTGTTGTGCAGTACTCTTTGTTGTTCTGTGTTGTGCAATAGCGGTTTTTTGTGTGTGTGTGTTGTGCAGTAGTGTTCGTTGTTCTGTGTTGTGCAGTTGCATTTATTGTTCTGTGTTGTGCAATAGGGGTTTGTTGTTCTGTGTTGTGCAGCAACAGTTATTGTTCTGTGTTGTGCAGTAGCGTTTGTTGTTCTGTGTTGTGCAATAGCGGTTTGTTGTTCTGTGTTGTGCAGCAACAGTTATTGTTCTGTGTTGTGCAGTAGCGTTTGTTGTTCTGTGTTATGCAATAGCGTTTGTTGTTCTGTGTTGTGCAGCAGCGTTGTTCTGTGTTGTGCAGTAGCGTTTGTTGTTCTTTGTTGTTTAATACCGTCTGTTGTTCTGTGTTGTTTTGCAAAAGCCATTTTTTGTTCTGTGTTTTTCAGCAGTGTTTATTGTTCTGTGTTGTGCAGTAGCATTTATTGTTCTGTGTTGTGCAGTAGCATTTGTTGTTCTGTGTTGTGCAATAACAGTTTGTTGTTCTGTGTTGTTTAATACCGTCTGTTGTCCTGTGTCGTGCAAAAACCGTTTTTTGTTCTTTGTTGTACAGCAGCATTTATTGTTCTGTGTTGTGCAGTACTGTCTGTTGTTCTGTGTTGTGTAATAGAGGTTTGTTTTTCTGTGTTGTGCAATAGCGGTTTGTTGTTCTGTGTTGTGTAATAGAGGTTTGTTGTTCTATGTTGTGCAATAGCAGTTTGTTGTTCTGTGTTGTGCAATAGCGGTTTGTTGTTCTGTGTTGTGCAATAGCGGTTTATTGTTCTGTGTTGTGCAATAGCGGTTTGTTGTTCTGTGTTGTGCAATAGCGGTTTGTTGTTCTGTGTTCTGCGATAGCGGTTTGTTGTTCTGTGTTGTGGAATAGAGGTTTGTTGTTCTGTGTTGTGCAATAGCGGTTTGTTGTTCTGTGTTGTGCAATAGCGGTTTGTTGTTCTGTGTTGTGCAATAGCGGTTTGTTGTTCTGTGTTGTGCAATAGCGGTTTGTTGTTCTGTGTTGTGCAATAGCAGTTTGTTGTTCTGTGTTGTGCAAAAGTGGTTTGTTGTTCTGTGTTGTGCAATAGCAGTTTGTTGTTCTGTGTTGTGCAATAGCGGTTTGTTGTTCTGTGTTCTGCAGTAGCATTTCTTTTTCTGTGATGTTAACTTATGTTGAGATAGCTGTCTAACAAAATACAGTGTACTCTTATATACATAAATACATATCTGTCTGTGTCTGTCTGTCTGTCTGTCTGTGCGTCTGTGAGTATTTGTGTGTATATACATGCAGGAAGGCAGTCAGTCATGCATGCACCTCGCAAGCACGCATGCACACAGACACACACACATAATCATTACATTACATTGCTTGAATCATTACAGAAGTCCACTGTGCGTGGAGTCACCTTTATTTTTGTTCCGGGACACGCAGGCGTCGATGGAAATGAAAGAGCTGACAGGTTGGCTGGATCCGCTATCACTACCGACGGTTAGCCTATGGATCATGCTGATATTATCAATGCCCTCAGAGAAATGGGAAGGATAGAGGACTTTGGTGGCAGTGAATCCACATCACTCGCCAGAATGGCAGACTTGGGAATTAAGATCGGCACAGCAAAAAACGAGACGCACACCGGACACGTCAGAAGACTTGTTAATCAACATAGAACTGGTACTATTAGCCATCGGACGTTGGGGTTCATACTGAGGGGAGGATCTGAGCACCTATGGACATGTCCGGAGTGCAATGACGATAACCCAACTAACTAACTAACTAACTAACTAACTAACTAACACACACATAAACCAACTATCTTTCTTTCTCCAACTTATTCAGTCCATATCACTCGTCATCCCTCCCTCCACCTCCACCCTCTGTTTCCTATCCGGTCTGTCTCTATCTGTCTCTACATCCTCCTCCACCCATCTCTCTTCCTGAGAATCTCACTAGTTCATGTATTGTGTTGAAATTCTCTGTGTGTGGTCTATGGGAGATTTCAGAATCACATAAGGAGTGTTTACCCACAAGCACTCAAGAGTTCTCTTCTCCAAACTAAACCAATATGCCTTCCAAAGAAGCTGCCAGTTTGTATTGTGTGGAACGTTTTCTAACTCTCACCTTCACTCTGCAATCATCCACAGGTTATCATGGACACTGAAGAGATTCAAAAGTACCTGGACACACACTTTCCACAGCCAGACCTTCGCTACACTAATAAAAATGCCCACACTGCCTGCGTGGATGTCTTCTCCAAGTTTTCCTTCTTCATCAAAAACGTGTCTCACACACCGGACCTCCTCCTCAAAGAGCTGTCGATGCTGAACAGCTACCTCAGCAGCTCTGACCACAAGTTCCTGTGTGGAGATGAACTGACCTCACTAGACTGCAATGTCCTACCTAAACTGCAGCACATCCGGGTCGCCTCTAAAGCTTTCAAGGACTTTGACATACCGTCTTCGTTTACAGCACTGTGGCGTTACCTTGGCAACGCTTACAACAATGATACTTTCAGAAAAACCTGCCCATCTGACCAGGAAATTGTCCACCATTGGAGCGAGAAGAAGGAGACAACTCCTTTACCAGAAGCCAAACAGAAATTTTACACAGTGGAAGCGTCGCCCAGATTTAGCCTGACTGTACCGACTGAAATCAATGGACACTAATTAGTAAAATTATATTCTCCAATTTGGCAACTGCTTATTACCTTAAACAGCATTTTCAATTATTCATGTTTATATACATCTATGATATTTTACTAATATGTAGAAAGAGTGCCCCTTCATCATATCTGTGGAAAATGTGTGCTTAAATAGGTTTACAAGCATACACATAAGAACGGTACTGGGTTTAGGTAATTAAAATGTATACTTTAATAGGCTTAGTTACATACACATGTGTACTTTAGTCGTTTTAAATCATACAAAAATGTACTTTCATAGGTGTAACACATACAAATGTGCACTTTAGGAGATAGATTAGGACTAATTTTTCACTCATGATTGTCAATTCCAAAAGGTAGGCAACTCATGGCTGTGTTTTGGCAAAATGTCAAAAATAGACAATCAAACAGCAGCTGTTATAGATTCTAGAGAAAAGGCACATCTAAGGGGAAAGCACCCAATATAATCTCATGACTGGGGAGAAGAAAAGAAAAGGTTAGTGTCAGTTTTAAAATTCAGTAAATATTATCTCACTGTTGTTTTTTTTTTTTTAAACAATTTTTTTTTTTTTTTTCAATCAGACACAATTATTTTCAGTGTGCAGTCTTTAGAGATCATCATCTTCTTTATCTTCTGCACTTCACCTTTTTCCTCTTTGAGTGTCAATAGAGATATAAGGTTCTGCTGATCAGTTGATCTGGATATCATTGTATATTCAGTATCAATAATAAATCCATTGTTGGCTTGCTAGCCCTGTCGCAACCTCACCAGAGCCCGATTGGCCAGAACGTTTGGTGGTGGCCCATGATGGACTTCATGGCTATCGTAGCGGTCCCGTGGCACAAGGACACACCATACGTTGCCCAGTCCTAGCAGTCACCTACTTTGTCCTGTTTACTACCTCTCAAGTCTGTACCTACTTTGTCCTGTTTACTACCTCTCAAGTCTGTACCTACTTTGTCCTGTTTACTACCTCTCAAGTCTGTACCTACTTTGTCCTGTTTACTACCTCTCAAGTCTGTACCTACTTTGTCCTGTTTACTACCTCTCAAGTCTGTACCTACTTTGTCCTGTTTACTACCTCTCAAGTCTGTACTTACTTTGTCCTGTTTACTACCTATCAAGTCTGTACTTACTTTGTCCTGTTTACCATCACTTAAGATGGGTTGTCTGTACAGATACATTGAAGACAATGCTAAATGCTAGTTGTGACTCTTTCACATGAGGGATCATTATTATCTGCAAACTCAGATGATACGACACCAGCTATTGTTTTTTTGTAGGAGTGCACTAATACCCTATTGAATCTTGTGTTATGCTGCAGCCGACAACCTACCATGGGGAGGTTGTTCTTGTTGTTTTCCACATATCTAATCATTTGATTCTCAAATTGATTTGGTAAATGAAAATAAGGTCTGAATATATATGAGCATTTAAGTATTACCTAGTCTCAGGTTTAACCATTTCTCCCAATAAAAATCTTTTAAAATGACCTTTTTAAAAACTTTCTTACAAATAAACACATTGTTATAATTTTCTCAAACTCTACCATAAGAAACTGAATTATTCATAATTTTCTTCCTCTTGTTTTTCTATATCTTCTTAAACCTTCTTCTCCTCCTCCTTCTTTATTTTTCCTTTATCTTTTATTTATATTTTTTCTTCTTGTTATCTTTTTTTTTTAACCTCCTTGTAAATCATTACTTTGGAGAAACATATCTCTAGAGATTAACTCATACATAATGGTATACTTTCTTATTTATAGGATCATTGAATTTGTTATGTTCTGTCTTGTGCTCTTTTTGTTGTCCCTAGAAGCAAGAGCTAGCTGTGGGCCACTGTCTTGTGGTTATGCTGTCACATGGTTGAACCAACTGGCTGACTTGTTTTAATGTAGCCTAGATTTGATGATGTCTGTTGCTGCACCGCTCCTAAAGTGTTAATTGCACAGTATTTATGTGTGAAATTATGTTTGGCCTTTTGCATCATTTAAGTTTCAGTATTTTTGTCCCAGCATTTGGGTCCCATTTATTAGCTTGATTTTTTTTAAACATAAACTCTTGATTTTTCTTCCCTTGGAATTTGTGTTAATTAAGTTTTATTGTACTACAAATAGTTGATGTTGTTTATCTTTGACATGTAAGTTATAGCAATTAAAATATTCTTCACAAGAGTATGTGTGTATATTTTGACTGTATTTATTTGATTATGTCCAGTTTTTTATGAGTTTTTCAGAAAAGCCACTTGCTTCTCTGCTGCTGGTTCTTCCTCTTCCTTTTTTCATCCTTCCTCTTCTTCTTTCATCCCTGCAACACACTTTTCCTATTTTTTTCCCCTCTTTCTTCCTTGATCTCTTTATTTCTTTCATTCTATCTTCATCTTCTTCCTATTCTTGTTATTTTCTTGTTCTTCCCCTTCTCATTATATTCTTCTTCTTGTTCTTCTTCATGCTCTTCTTGTTCATGTTCTTCTTCTTCTTTTTTCTTCTTCTTCTTCTTCTTCATCTTCTTCTTCTTTTCCTTCTTCTTCTTCTTCTTCTTCTTCATTTTCTTCTTCTTATTTTCTTCTTCTTCTTTTTCTTCTTCAACTATCACATGGAGCGACATTGAAAAAATATTAATGAGCACAGAATAACAGAAAAACCACAAGAAAAGATGGAGCGAAAAATAATTGGATACAAGCTTGCGCAGCAGCACCAGAGAAGATCCTGATATTCCTGTGATGCATACCCCTCCCACTCAACCCTATCCTGCTTTTGCTCAACGCTTTGTTCAGGTCTCTGAAGGAGAAGAATGCAAAGAGTGGAACAAGAGAAAAGGCATACATGTGTAGAAGTTGCTTTGTCATCATGTTTTTGTTGTTGTTGTTCATGTTCTTTATTTCATTTTCCTTCTTCTTCGCCCGTTATCCCAACTTTTGAGTGCCAGGTGTGTTTTCAATGTTCTTGCTTCACACAACGACAAAAGAAAATTGTGCAACAAAAACAACAGGGACACAACTCGTGAATTTTTTAAGTAAAGTTTTCTGTTACACATTATCTGCCTTTGATAAAGTACCCCAAAAAAAATGAATCTAAATATAGATTCGAATTCCCCCATTCCCCGTGTGAGTTCTGGTGCCCCATTACTGGAAAAATAATAAGACTCACTGTCTCTCTATCAAACATGTCGTAAAAGTCATAATATAAGGGTTTCCTTCTAAGTCAGAGTACATTAGCTTGAGAGGCAAAGAACCGACAGGATGCACACAAATAAGCTAGACATGTAAAACGTGCAAGCCTGCAACACTCAAATTCTGTAAAAGATTCTGTTCAATTTTTATTTTGTCTAGTGTGTCCTTCTGTCTTTCTACTTCTTTCTGTAAATGCCGATCAATACATTTTCTCTTTATTAATTATATATTTCTAATATTTATACGGCTTCAAGGGTTGTCCCTCTATTTATTTATGTGAATGACGTGTAACACATCGGTTTTACTGGCTTGTTTGTGTGCAGTTGGTTGTCCCTTGCCGCTAGGGCAGATGCACTCGGACTTCCAAAGAGGCTCCAATTAGTCGACTCCTGCGACAGGTATGTTTGGGGAGGCAGTGGGTCTATTCTTGTTTTCCCCCACAATGGTGCCCCTGAACCCACAAGGGAAACTTTGTTGTATTCATCTTCGCGTTAAGTGTTGTACATGATATTGATGACATCGCTTCTGTTCAGTACCGGACCAGCCATAGCAACCGCAGTGTCTGCCAAATAATCCGCACTCTGATTGCCTCGAAGACCCGCACGACCTGACACAAAGATGTCGGTTAGACCAGCCATTCGTAAAGTGCTTATTGAGATAGTCTATTAAAACCTGACGTACCGAGATTGGATTTCTTGAACATACTTTTTGAGTCACTCAGGATGCAGGCATGTGTAAACTCTTAAAGTCCCAGCCATGTTTATGCGTTTGATACAGCCACAGTTTCTATTGTGAGGCTGCTTAATGTAACAGCAAAGGCTCCATTAATCGCCACGTTATCCCCCATTTCAGTGTGGAATGCATTTCTTGTTGTTGTTGTTTTAAAGCACCACCCGGCTGTCGTCCGGGACCATAAATATAACCTTGGGTCTGAACGAGTTTTCTTGGACTTTTGCTCCTGTGATTCTCATCCGAATGATGGCAGTTTGTGTCATCGGGTGTTTATCTCTCGGCGTGCTTTCCTGGTGGGGTTAAAGGTCAATTAGTCGGTCAGTCAGTCAGTCAATCGCCTTGATTATCCTTCGTGAGCTCACAGTGAACGTGTATGCATCCCGCTTGCCTCGAATAACAGACCGACAGGTTCGGGTCCTGACGGTAGCCAGACTTTGTTCTAAAACGACCTTGGCTCCTAGGTCGACCCAGCCTTGAGCGGGTACCAGGTACTGGGAAGTAAAGGCGGCCGGTGTGATGCTGACCATATCCCCCACTAAGTCCATACAATATAAGTCTAGCCCTATATACCCATTACGTCTAACGGGGTGGAAAAGAGTCCTTGACTTTTTACAGTGTAAATGTTGGCACTTTTGATGGCTGTCTTATGCATTTAATGCGTGTGTACTATACTGGCATTACCGAGACTGCAGTCTATGTCAGTTTCGTTTTCGGAGAACTGCGGTGGTCCTTCTGTTTGGTTTTCGTTGGCACATGAACAGGGTGAGTATGAGGTGACCCTTTGGCTGTGACGTTCGAACTGTGATGACCTCTTCTTGTTCTTTCTTCTCTCTGACCCTGGAATGCCTCGCGGCGTCAGGGCAAGAAGATATCTCTGTATCGGGTTCTTCTGTTCGCTTCGTACATAGTACTTTTCAGTTTCTCTGATATTTCGGTCCATATTTTGCGTGGTTGACTTCTGTGAATGATACCGATGTATCTGTATTAGATTGCTCTCTGTGGTGCCCTGTCTGATGCCAGTTTTGTTAAATGGCCAAACCATTTGTTATGTTGTCTACCTATAATGTTAAGTGATTACCTAATTACCTGATTCCTGACTC